ATTATGGCTTACAGCTCATGAAAACCCCAAATCCACCATCTCAAAAATTTAGAATATTACATGCAATCAAGAAAACAAGGATTGTACGTAAAACAATATCTGACCTCTGAAAAGTATAAGCATGCATATCTACTCAGTCCAGTATTGCCCCTTTTGCAGCAATTACTGCCTCAATGTGGCGTGGCATGGAAGCTATCAACCTGTGGCACTGCTGAGGGGTTATGGAAGACCAGAATGCTTCAATAGTGGCCTTTAGCTCTTCTGAATTGTTCGGTCTCATGTCTCATCTTTTACTCCTCTTTTATTTCCTCTGGGAGGGGCCATTCATCGTCCACCTGTCTTTTGCTGTTCCCTTCATTGGGCAACTCTGTGCATGCATCACTGGGAACAGGCTCCAGCTGTTCATCTGCCTCACTGATCTCTGACTCGGATGGCAGCTGATAACTGTCAGATGGCTCTGGCCCCCTCTCTGCTTCCGACGCAGAGCCCTCATCAGAGCCTTCCCCAGGCTCCAAGACCGACCCATGTTCCTCCTCAACCGTCTCACTGTCCAAATCTGCTGCCAGCTCTGCTGGCCACTGGTGGGCCACAACATTTGCCTCTAAGAATCTGAGTCCTCATTTTACCAACCTCAGAAGGATGGAAGGCTGAGTCAACCTGGAGCCGGTCAGGATCGAACTGCTGGAGCCTGCAGTACTGCGTTCTAACCACTGCTCCACCATGGCTCCCAAGGCAAAGGCATGTTCCAAGACAAAATGTCAACCATCCCATTGATACATGGAGCAAAAGAAACTATTGGGACAGCATTTTACCAAGAGAATAACTTCACTGATAAAAATAAGACCCAACCTGAAAATAAACCCTAACATAATTTTTTAGCGTGCTCCTCATATAAGCGCCAAGAGGGACACGGTGGCTCAGCGACTCAGACGCTGAGCTAGTCAATTAGAAAGATCAGCAGTTTGGCAGTTCAAATCCCTAGCACCACATAATGGAGTGAGCTCCCGTGACTTGTCCCAGCTTCTGCCAACTTAGCAGTTTGAAAGCATGTAAAAGTGCAAGTAGAAAAATAGGAACCACCTTTGGTGGGAAAGTAAGAGCATTCCATATCCCTTCAGTGTTTAGTCATGCCGACCACATGACCACAGAGACGTCTTCAGACAGCGCTGGCTCTTTGGCTTTGAAATGGAGATGAGCACCACCCCCTAGAGTCGGGAATGACTAGCACATATGTGCAAAGGGAATCTTTACCTTTAATATAGGTAAGGTGGTGCAGTGGTTAAATGCAGCACTGCAGGCTACTGCTAGATCAGCAGTTCCGCGGTTCAAATCTCACCGGCTCAGGGTTGACTCAGCCTTCCATCCTTCCGAGGTGGGTAAAATGAGGACCCAGATTGTTGGGGGCAATATGCTGA